GTGTTGTATTATCTTTCTTTTGCAAGTGGTGTGTTTGTATCTTGCTCAGGAACATACGGCGAATCTTCTCACTGCTTGCACCATGTTGTTTCATCGTCCACCTCACTGTTTTCAATAGGGATAATTGCCGACCAACTCAAATCTATTGTTGGCAGATTTTGTCATTTATCCCCCTCAAATCGTTGTAGACCTCACATACTATCATTCCTTTGTTGTTCCCCAACCACCTCCATTCAAAATCCGCTTCTTAAACACATTTTAGGAGCCATAGAATGGTATTATCTGGTATAAGAGTCCGCCAAACTTTAAATTTTTAAGACTGCCTTTCTTGCCCAAATCCAAAATTAAAAAAAAAAATCCACCATACTCAAATAATTCCTACTGCTCTTAGCCCCAACCCTAAATTTTTAAAATCTAACTTTACTGCAGTAATAAGCCTTTGTAATTTTACTGCCATCACCAAAATTTCACTTCAACACCTGCTACCAAAATCTAAGTCCTAGACCAACCTTAATTTGTAATTTTACATTTGCTGAAAACCTGATCGAGAGAAAAGAATGCCATGATGTCAAGGAGAAATTCTCAGCGAGGTGTCCACAAGAACTTGCTCTGAAGGTTATACAATAAAAAATCTTCCAACTGCAATAGAGTCTTATTGCCTTTAAGAGGAGACAATGCAATGACGTTACGTTTAGCTACAAGGTGACCCGCTACGTCAAGCGGAGGAAGTGAATCCTTTTTATCGAGAAGTTTTCAGTGACAAAGAACGAATACCCAAACGATTTGATATGGAATATCAGAGAAGCCAGGACCTTGGAGTAAATATTAGTTTATAGGATTCAGACGATCACATGGATTCAAATAAGTTTATCGAGTTGCTCTAAACAATGGAATAAATTTTCAAGTACAAACATGTTTCCCATGATAAAAGAGTTTAATTGACAACCATCAAGTTTAGTAAGAACACTTCCTTGTTGTGAGAGAACCTGAAGCTTCTTTGCTAGCGTGAGTGGATAAGTAAAATCATTACATTGTCTAAAATAAAATGGGCGATGCAGCTACGGCGAATCTTCTCACTGCTTGCACCATGTTGTTTCATCGTCCACCTCACTGTTTTCAATAGGGATAATTGCCGACCAACTCAAATCTATTGTTGGCAGATTTTGTCATTTATCCCCCTCAAATCGTTGTAGACCTCACATACTATCATTCCTTTGTTGTTCCCCAACCACCTCCATTCAAAATCCGCTTCTTAAACACATTTTAGGAGCCATAGAATGGTATTATCTGGTATAAGAGTCCGCCAAACTTTAAATTTTTAAGACTGCCTTTCTTGCCCAAATCCAAAATTAAAAAAAAAAATCCACCATACTCAAATAATTCCTACTGCTCTTAGCCCCAACCCTAAATTTTTAAAATCTAACTTTACTGCAGTAATAAGCCTTTGTAATTTTACTGCCATCACCAAAATTTCACTTCAACACCTGCTACCAAAATCTAAGTCCTAGACCAACCTTAATTTGTAATTTTACATTTGCTGAAAACCTGATCGAGAGAAAAGAACGCCATGATGTCAAGGAGAAATTCTCAGCGAGGTGTCCACAAGAACTTGCTCTGAAGGTTATACAATAAAAAATCTTCCAACTGCAATAGAGTCTTATTGCCTTTAAGAGGAGACAATGCAATGACGTTACGTTTAGCTACAAGGTGACCCGCTACGTCAAGCGGAGGAAGTGAATCCTTTTTATCGAGAAGTTTTCAGTGACAAAGAACGAATACCCAAACGATTTGATATGGAATATCAGAGAAGCCAGGACCTTGGAGTAAATATTAGTTTATAGGATTCAGACGATCACATGGATTCAAATAAGTTTATCGAGTTGCTCTAAACAATGGAATAAATTTTCAAGTACAAACATGTTTCCCATGATAAAAGAGTTTAATTGACAACCATCAAGTTTAGTAAGAACACTTCCTTGTTGTGAGAGAACCTGAAGCTTCTTTGCTAGCGTGAGTGGATAAGTAAAATCATTACATTGTCTAAAATAAAATGGGCGATGCAGCACAAATTTCTTTCCCCATATTATCGACATGATAATAAAATCCTTTACTTGTGCCAGAGAGATTTTTTTATAGGTGCTAAAGATATTCTTTTATGGAGGAGTACACAACTGAATATATTCAACTCGTTAAAATGTGAGTTGCTGAAACCAGAGGAGCACACAATACCGAGGTATCTCTGAGGACCAAGTCATCTATTATTAATGTGATATAGTTATAACTATATTGATTCCTATTTGATGTACATGCCCTAGCTTTGAAGGCAAAGAAACAACATCACGAGATTACTACCACACCTTACTAGCAGAGTTCAATCCTAGGATCAAGAAATTTTAGTTCACCCAGTGGAGAACCTTAAGAAAAACCCTTATATAGTCGAGAAAATGTGGAGACCACCCGCTCTCCTAAATCTGTCTCCGCTAGGTAGTGCTCCAAGGGCTCTTGTTTTGTGCGCATTGCATCCCATTGTTAAAACAAGATGATGATTTATTTTGCTAAGTATAAAGTAATTGAAGAAATAGACAATGACATAGGAGAGGGAGAAGACGTCGAAGGAGAATAACAACTTTCTACATTGATTCAACAAGAGCTTATGAGAGACTCTAATAGGATTAACATTGGTTGTCCTAGACGACAGTGAGTCTAAGGAGTTGATACCAGACGCATGCTTGCCTTAGCTAAGTGGCACAAAAGAGGATGGAGATGTGAAAGAGGAGTAACAATTTCCAGCCTACAATGGAAAGATGTTGTGATTCAAGTTGAGCGCATGGGAGAGATTCTGGTAGGATTAATATTGGTTGTCCTAATTGATAGTGAGTTTAAGGAGCTGATATCAGACACATGCCAACCATAACTAAATGAATTTCATAATTGTCTGACCTACAACCAACCACTTAGGTTCCCAGTATTCAGTGAGGTCCAATATGTCATCACTTTAGATATACATGAGAAATTTTTTGATGATTTTTGAAGGACTTTTTAGAATAAATTGAGTATGAAGTTTTAGTTCATTTCAACAATATTTCAACAATGTCGCCTGAATAGATGGCCAATAGGAGTGATGAGACACACTGGTTTGAAAATCTCAACAGTTATTTTGGGGTTATCTACATCAGATAATTGGACCCAAGTCCTTTCAAAGAAGAAGAAAAAGCCTCTCATAGCCGGGGAGAACGATGTGGGGGCTCCCTCCTGCAGGAATTCTGCAATCTGGTGTCATAGAATATCGGGATCCTGTAATCCTATAAGCAGGCCAAGTGCCGGTATGGGCTATAGCAATATTTTTCCGCATGTGTTGCTGTCAGCCCCTTTTGAATCGCTTTTTTAATATTATTTTAATTAGAATTAGATTTCTTTTGCTGGAGAATTATTTATATGCTATTAATTTTAGTTTTTGTAGACATTTGGCTTTGTTTATGTATTTTGGAGATGTTTTTTTTTCTTTTTTTTTTCCTGATTTCCTACTTAGTATTGTTGTATCCTTTTCCTTTTGTAAGTGACATGTTTGTATCTTGCCTAGGAATATGTGGCAAACCTCCTCGTTGACCATGCTACACTATTCTGTTTCATTCTCTGCTTCTCTATTTCCAACAGGGGTGGCAACAGGGATAGCCACCGAACAACTCAAATCTGCTGGATAACAGAATTCATCACTTAACCCCCTCTAAATGCTGTAGACCTTACATACTATCATTCCTTTGTTATTCTCCAACCACCTCTCACTCAAAATTCACTTCCTAAAATCCTTCTGGGAGCCCTAAAACAGCATTAGATAGTAGCAATGCTAATGATAATTTTTTGCAAGTTCTATTATAAAAAAAATTGAGACTTTGAGCATAAATATCCTAGGTCATTGTTTTGAATTCAATTTCAACCCTGCTTCGGACTACCTCCAAGCATCTCAATCTCTCCATATGAATAGCATTATCCCAGTATGGATTTACAATTTGCTACACATTATAGTTAGCATGGAGAAATATTTCAGTATCAGTTTTAATCTTTTATTTGAATGACCACCCTTGAGATGATTTTTTTTAGTGTTTTATTCATAATCCAACTAGCCAATACTAATATGAAAACATATATCAAGTCTAGTGTTAGATGGGTAGATGAGTTTTCATATTAACTATTATTACCTTTATATGCTTAGGTAGAATCTCATTTAATTCCAACTTTACTCGATGGATGTGTTGGCAGGTTTACTCCTAAATATACTGTTTTTTATAGTGAGCCCAAGGTGTATTTTCTCTGTGAGACGGATATTCCTTTACTTGTTTTTGCCATTAAAAACATTTTTGCCATTTCCATGCCTAGTTAAAAGTTGTAGTTTTGTTGGCACGCAACTCTTTAGCTAAGTGGTTCTTAGAGTAAAAAACCAATTGATTTTAAGAAACAGATTCTAGCACTAGCACAGTGGATTCGTGAAAGTTATGGAATGCAAGCAATCCTTCTCTGTGCTTAGCCATAATTTGAAAGGAAATTACTGAATATTAATTGTCTTAAAAATTGGATTTATACCTAATATTTGCCTTTCCTTTTGCTTTACCTGCATCCACGTGTACTTAGATTCATATGTTTATACTTGCTGAGATCGCACAAATACATGTTTGTCTTTCATGCTTCCTTAACATGTGTCATTCCTAGTGAAACTTGTTCAGTATCAGTTTCTCCAAAACAAAGTTGCCTTAAAATGTTCAGAGAATATTATAGTCCATGCTGCCAATTCTGTACAATTATTTTATAATTTTTTTATTTGTGAATTGGAGACACGCCCCCTCTCTGGCATGCATTTTCTTATACTTTCTATTTATTATTTACTGTTGGTTGTGTTATGATTATTAACAATTATTCATATACATGCAACTGCTGTATTTATATGAATGTACACCTTCACATTCTGCCTTATTGGCTTGGTAACCTATTACTTTCCTTTCTAGCAGTGACTGCTGCAGTACTTCTGTTGTTGATTTCCATCGTACTTGTACCAATTGTTCATATGATCTTTGTCTCTCTTGCTCCCGAGAACTGCGTGAAGGTTATCAACCTGCTGTTCAGAAATCAGATTCTGCTCCAAGTCCAGTTCTTGTACAGAAATCAAATCATGCTACTGCCATGAATGGAAGAATTGACCTTCCACGAAAAAAATTTGGTTGGCAGGGCGCAGATCCGAGTACAAGCAACAATAAATTCATTGATAAATCTTGCTCCTTTTCTGATTGGAGAGCGAACGATGATGGTAGTATTTCATGCCCTCCTAAAGAACACGGCGGATGTGGAAATGGTGTCCTTGCCTTAAAGCGCACCTTTAAATCTAATTGGGTGGTTAAGCTTATTCAAAATGCGGAGAGATTAACAAATAGTAGTCTCTTTGCAGATGAGAGCGCATCTGACATTTGTTCATTATGCCCTGAGAAATGCTTATTTTCTGGAGTTGATCAAAATAATTTCGCCCTCCGCAGGGCAGCATCTCGGAAAAGTAGCCATGATAATTTTTTGTATTGTCCCAATGCAATGGAGTTGGTAGATGATGAATATGCTCATTTTCAAAAGCATTGGAGAAGGGGTGAACCAGTGATTGTCAGAGGTGTTCTTGAGAGAACAACTGGTCTTAGTTGGGATCCTATGGTTATGTGGAGGGCTCTTCGAGAAAAAAAAATTGAAAAGTTTAAAGAGGAGGGTTATGCTGTTAAGGCAGTCGATTGTCTAGACTGGTGTGAGGTGGGCCAATTTAGCATTTGATTTATGCCATATTCCAGCATAGTAATTTTTATGTCTTCCAATTTTGTTGTTTATAGTTGAGCGGATATTGTTTTCATGTCTCCTAACCCAGCGTTTACTTTGTTTCATCTCGTTATTGCATCTTTTGATAAAGTTCAGGTAAAACAGAAAACATCTGATTTTAAGTAGCATGGTAAATTTTATTTGTGAGCTGTTTCTGTTCTATAATCTTCTAAGAATGCATGATTTGTTTTAATTTTTCGTTGCTCTTTACTCATATAATTGTTCACGTTTCTTAATAAATTAAATAGTAAAATTTTCCATTTTCTATTACTTTTTTATGTTTTCCTGCCTCTTTATCAACTTTTCTAAAATAGCATATTCGAACCCAAAAATAAAATAAAATAAAACTTTATACTAACATAGATTATGGCTCCAGATAGTTGACACGGGGCGCTAAAAGGCGCCCCAGTAGCGGGGCTCTAATAGCGCCCCTAATGCGGGCGCTAAATGCCAGCCGACTGAACACCAACTTCCTCGCGGGTCCAGGGAGACCGGTCCATAACACGATCACGAAGGATCGAGACAAAAGGATCGCGAGTTCCGTGGAGAAGGCGGGACTACCTCCCGTCCTCATGTGCTCTTCTCCTTTTGGAAAGTTTTAGGGTCTGTTTGGGGCAACTGTTGATTATTTATAATCTGTTGATAAACAGATTATTCTGAAGCTGGCTTGCTGTTTGAAACAACTTATTCAGAATAACTTACTGGGACCTGTTGTTGGATAAATGACCATTTCGCCTCTGTTGGTTAAAGTGTTTGCAACAGAACTGTATATATACAATAATAGATAAACAGATGTCTCAAACTATTACAGTTTAGTTACAAAAATTAAAATACATTGCTCACCATTTCGTGAGTATAAAAAAATAAAACAAAAAGAAATACAATTACAATTAAGAGTAAACAAATTAAAACGTTCAATTTAAAACTCTGACGTCGTCTGTCCTCAGCAGCACTGTCCTCTTGGGAAACCATCGTACCACGATACCACGATCACTGTCTGCATGGGAGTATGTTGGAACGTCGGCCCAATGGAAGAAACCACATCGTGCTGAAACACCCCTCTGACAACCGTAGAACTGTCTCCCGCTGCTATAAGGCTGGCGTGACGTAAGGGAGCGCAGTAACACAACACAACTTGGGAGGTCCCTGAAATCCTAGAGCTCATGCTGCTACTAAGATAAAAAAAACCAAACACTTTCCATTTCTGTAAAAAATACTTTAAAATGGGTAGTAGGGCTATTGCTGTTACTGTAAAAATAACATTTAAAAAAGCTGCTCCAATATTCCAAAAAACTAGCATAAAATCCAATATTCCAAGACCTGCATAATCCTCAAAACCAAAACCTATTCCAAAGAACCATCCGAGCCAAACCATCCGGGCCTAGAAAACGATCCAAACATCCAAACCAACCACAAGAAACTAGCAGCCCCCTTAAAACAAGCAGGTGAAGTAAGAAAAACAAAATTACGACCCAGAATGGAGGGCCAAAAAGTAACTTGCATAAAAAAGATGCAGCATATATGTATATCCTCGAATGGAGAAAAAGCTCCCTACAACAATTGTTTTAAAATAAGACATCAAACCAAAGTAGATAACACAGTGGTAGAGAACAGAATCCATTCAAAACTGCTCGATAAAATAGTGGTAGAGAAAAAGCTCCTTACAGTTGCTTGAAAATATAACAGAATTCAGGCAAAACAACTCGGTAAAATCAAAGCATTTTGGGAAACCTGCGCAACTCGAGAAAGCTAGAAGAAGCTTGCATAAAACAACAATGAAATCTATCCAGAACTTCAATCCAGCAATATGTAAATGCCCATAAATTCGTCCAACACTTGCAATCACATGCTCCGAGATAAGCATAAATGAGCAACTAAAGAAACGAAATAATAGAGGGCAGAGTGTAGCAACCATTTGCACTGTTAGATTCAGCATCAAAGTAAGCCCCATTCCAGTTAACAGGGGGTGCATATATGAGGGGGTGCATGGCTTTGCAAGCCAATTAACAGGAGAGTTACCGTCCAAAAATATAAAACTCATTTGCACTGTTAGATTCAACATCAAAGAAAGCCAGAAAACCCCATAGAAATGTACCAAACACGATTACCAAGCTTTCCCCACTATATATTGCAAAGCACAAGGACAATATAAGAGCAGAAATAAAATTGTATGTAAATGCCCCAAGCACGATAAACAAGCACAATATAAGAGCTTTCATCACTGACCTCCCAAGCACAAGGACAATATAAGAGCTTTCATCACCCTCCCAAGCATTATAAACAATTCCGCATATATGCAATATCTCTGGCATGTATGTAAATGCCCTACTATAGATAGCTACAATTCCGCATAAATGGATCTAGACAACATTCAAATAATACCCCATTCCAGAGATAGCTTGCAACTCATCTCAAAACCAACGCCATATACATAGGACTCCAAGGCTAATAAATTCCCCATTATACAACTAAAAGAGCTTTTTCAAAGAATTGGGTGTTCTGTATGTAAATGCCCCATTATATATTTCTAAGTAAAGAGCATAGTAATTCAGAATAGAGTGGTAGGTATGTAAATGCCCCATTATAGAGTGGTATGTATGTAAATCCCCCATTATATTTTCGTGTAACAGTGAATAGGATTTGAATAGGAAATGAAGTGGCAGGTATGTAAACCCCCCTTATATTTCTTCTCTAAAAATCACAGGAATTGAAAATATTCCCATTCATTCTAATCCCAAAATAGATCCCAAGCACTCCAAAATTCCAATATTGCAATTCCAACATTTCGAACCATGAAATTTTATCATAGGAATAGGAAGAAGAAAGTAGTTACTTCAAGATTCATTAATCTTGTTTAGCCCTTTCTTCTTCCTATAGAAACATTAAATACTCACAAAATAATATAACAAGTGAAGTGTGATCATCCAAATGGATGAGCAGTAGTTATTCTACCAAGCAAAATATTGAAAAGTTATGTTCAGATCACTCATCCAGACCGCCAGAAGGTAAAATATAAAAAATAACCCATTCGAAAATTCAGATCTAGCATCCAACATTCCGTAAAAACTGCATCTTACCTCTAAAACAAACAATGATGCATCCAAACAAAAATGCAACGAGGCACAAGTGAAGTGAAGGGTAGAAAGCATACCTCATTTGAGGTGGGAAAATAGGGTTTCATTAGGACGGCGAGGGCGAGGGAGAGTAGAGGTTGGAATGTTACCTAATTTGTGAAGAAGAAGCTGAGGGCAATGGCGAGGGGAGCGGAGAGGGGCACGAGAGGAATTTCTTCATCCTAACGCGCTAAGCTAACGCCGGACGCGGCCCCTTCCCAACTTGCAAATCTATTTACATTATTTTCCAATTGCGTCAGAGTGGTGCAAAAAATTTGGTGCGAACGTGTTTTCTAAACACGACAACTGCGTTTTCATACCGCTGCCGCTCCTAATAAGCTGCCCCAAACGGGGCCTTAATTGCTTTTTTTTGGAATATTCCACCCCTTATTCTTGTGTGGGAGTTTCTTTTCCTACTTTCCTTTCCTCGTCCTATAGGAGCCTATATAATGCTGTCTATAGAGATTCAGGGTCAGTTTTTGCTGTGTTCTACTTTAAGATTTCCTGTGTGGAGAGTTTTCCCTATTCTAGGGCTGTATCCGAGGAGGTGGTGGTGGTCCTGCTGTATTCTCCTCCGAGGTGGTATTGTATCCTTCTTTTTTACCATCTCTACTCCTCCCCCCTCCAGCAGCCGTCGACATCCCCATCCTTCATCCTTGCACCCAACCACCCTTCCCGCAACGACTTTCTCTTGTTGTATAGCTCCCCTGATCTCACCTCTGTCTTCAAATACCATGTCCCTACAGTCCAATATTGTTATCCCCCTCCCCAGTCTTCATCCAAAATATGATCTCGGTCACCATAGTTATGTAGCAAAATCTGCTAACCAACCCTCCATCATTGCTGCCCCTGCAGTTCTGTATCTTTCCCTTGCTTCCCCCAGCGTTCTTTTGCTGCCACCAATTCTACCAATCATCCCGACCCATGTAGCCAACCTCCACTGTCCTTGGAATACACTTTAAAGATGTTTCCTTGTGTCGTTCATGTTTTTTGTTGTTATTTTCTACTATGTTCACTGTAACCTTCTCTCTAAATCAATTAAAGTTTGTTTTGCATTTTCCCTTGAATTTCTTACTAGTTTCGATATCATTTAGCATCAGAACTAGCCCAAATCTAGTCATATCCTAGGCTTTCCTAGCATCTGGTCCTACCTACTCCTACCAAAAATTTTCCCTTCTACCCCTTGCCGATTTTCAAAATCAGCAATACTAAATTAAATTTTTATACCATTAATGAGTCTCCTACACTCTTTTTCACCTTCCAACTCTAAACCTTAGCCATGTCACCATCAAGTTATATGCTCGACCTTTCCTAGAGGAGATACGGCGAGGGATTCGCCGACATCAGCGCTGGATTACAAAAATGGAAGATGAAATCTAATGGGAGCTATCCTTGCCCGTGATCCGAAAGGTTGAAATATGAAGATGAAGCGGGAAACACCGTGTCGGTTTCTCTCAACTTACCACCGCCAAAAGTTGCAGACTCTAGCTTCCATATGTTGACCTCATTTTTAGTGAGGTCTAGTCTTCCTCTTAGGGTTTAGGATCTAGCCTTAGGGATCTCCCTTTGACTATCTTAGAACCTTAGATCTAATGGGAGCTATCCTTGCCCGTGATCCGAAAGGTTGAAATATGAAGATGAAGCGGGAAACACCGTGTCGGTTTCTCTCAACTTACCACCGCCAAAAGTTGCAGACTCTAGCTACCATAGTGAAGAGACCGCAACACCAAGCAACCCCCCTTGGCTACTATCCAACAAAATCAATTCGCAAGTCAATCATAGCCAGAAAATGTTGCGAGTACCACAGATTTGGACATGGTGAAGCAGAATGCACAATAAGGGGAGTGATTTACTTCATCGAGCAGGGCGTCATTGGAAAATTTCATAAAGACACCATAGGCACTGAAGACGGTGATGACTTAACTGAGGAGAATTCGCTTCCGGTTGAGGAGGACAAGATACACTTAGTCTCAGCTGAGTTCATGGAAGAGAGAGTTCAACCGACTTCATTTTAAGTGGCCAATACAGTTATGAGTCTGAGGAGCCGACATCAGACATAGAACCCCCACAGGCAAGAGCAAGGCAGACACTTCAAATCTACATACCTCTTCCTGAGTTCCCCCTATGGAGGGAGGTCCAACATGTCCAGAGAGGAGGCATTATGTCCCTTGCTTGGACTACTACAGTGAGTAGTTCGAACGTTAGAGTTAGCTCAGCAGGGTTCCCATCAACAAATTTTATGAAACATATTTCGTCCTAGAATTGAGTTCTCACATAGGTGTTACTCAATCACCGCACGCTAGGCACGACAAGTGGAAGGGTGAAGATTTCAAATGTATGGGCTCGAGAGTTGCACTGCAGGTCTCTATATGCAGTTACTGCTCAGGATGTGCCAAAAGAGGATGATTACCTATTTTATCAGAATGTGTTGTAGAATAACAACTCTGGCATGATCGACCTACTAGGGGATTTAATATTATACCATGAGGATCCAGGAGTTTCAACGAATGAGGTTGAAGCTCTCCTAACCCCTGAAAATTGACGTGGGGGGCTAAAAGGTGCCCTTGTAGCGGGGCGCTAACAGCGCTCCTAACGCAAGGCACTAACAAAACCCCTAAAACGAGGCGTTAAATGCCAGCTGGCTAAACTGGCTGGCCAACTTCCTTTCCAGTCCAAGGGAACCGGTCTGGAACACAATCGCGACGAGACAGAAGGATCGTGAGTTCTGCGGAGAAGGCGGGACTACCTCCCCTCATGTGCTCTTCCCCTTTTGGAAAGTCTTAATAGTTGTTTGCTGGAGTATTCCCACCCCTTCCTCTTGCGTGGGAGTTTTCTTTCCTTCAACAGGAACCTATATATTGCTGTCTACAAAAATTTAGGGTCAGTTTTTGTTGTGTTCTACTTTCAGATTTTCTTTGTGGAGAATTTTCCCTGTTTTAGGGTTGTATCCGAGTAGGTGATGGTGCTCCGACTGTATTCTCTTACAAGATGGTCCTGTATTTTTCTTTTTTACCATCCCTACTCCTCTCCTTTCTAGCAGCAGTTGGCCTCCCCACCCTTCATCACCGCACCCAGCCGCCCTTTTCCCAACGGCTTACTCTTGATGTCCAGCTCCCCGGATGTCACCTCAGTTTTCAACCGCCCTGTCCCTATAGTCCAGCATTGTTGTCCTCCTCCGCAACCTTCTTCTCATCCCTGATCACCGTTGTTCTGCAGCAAAAGCGGCTGCCCAACCCTCTATCATTGTTGCCCCTGCAGTTCTGCATTTTTCCCTCTTACGCTTTAGAGGTGTTTGCTTGTTTCGTTCATGTTTTGTGTTGTTATTTTCTGATTTGTTGTGTTGTAACCCTCTCTCTACATTAATAACAGTTTGTTTTGCATTTTTCGTTGAATTTTCTACTAGTTTCGGTATCAATAATGTTCATAAAATTTGATTGAATATCTAGCTTTTAACTAGTTTAATAACTTATGCTTGAAGAATTCAGATGAGCTGAGATGCAGAACAAATTATTTTAATTTTTTATATATATTTTGAAAAAAACAGGATTGTTAAGTTGTTGCAGCTTTGAATGTGAGGTGGGAGAATTGCTTTTCCATTTTTCAATTACATGAGCTTGCATATTCATAATCAACCAAAAAGTTTATTTTAATTTCCTTAAACTTCTATCACACAGGTCGAAATTAATATTCACAAGTTTTTCAAAGGCTATGTGGAAGGTCGGATTCATAAAAATGGATGGCCTGAGATGCTAAAGTTGAAAGATTGGCCTCCATCTAGTTTATTTGCAGAGCGTTTACCAAGGCACTGTGCTGAGTTTATTGCTGCTCTTCCGTATAAAGAATATACTCATCCAGTCGCTGGAATACTAAACATTGCTTCACGGATCCCTGAAGGTCGTTCCAGCCCTGATTTAGGCCCCAAAACTTACATTGCTTATGGTTTCCATGATGAGCTTGGTAGAGGAGATTCGGTGACAAAACTGCACTGTGATATATCTGATGCGGTACATTTGTTATCCTCAATCTTGATACTTTTTTAATGCAGATCCATTTTTTCTTTTTCTTGGAAGCTTTCTAATTTTTCCACATTTTTTTCTGACTGGTTTTCTTTTAGATGCAGGTTTATTCAGGAATAAGTTGTTTCTTGTTTAGTATAGGGTTTTCATACTCTTGAAAGGTTTACATTTTACATTAAAACATACCATCAAAAGTATGAGGAAAAAAAAAAAAACATTCCCAAAAAAGGGAACCAAAAAGCCAAAAAAAAAACTATGCCTCTGTGACATTTACAATATGAGCACTATCCTCTTGTAAAACAAAAAAGAGAGGATTCTGATCATTTACTTGATGGAAGAGAAAGTCACCATCAAAAGCTATCTTTGCACAAGTATGGGCTGCTCTGTTGTTTTTTCTATTGCTATGCTTAAACAAAACTTGTTTAAATTTAAGTAAAAAACCAATATTTGGATTGTCGGGAAAGTTGCATTGCCACTTCTTCTTTTCCATAGTATGCCGGAAGTGCTTCATGACGTTGTGGTTGTCCCCCTCAATATTGATACCAAGGCACTCAGTCATCCAGTCCTCAATAAGTGAGTGGAGGGAGAGTACCGCCTCCATCTCTACTTGGGAGCTGTCCCAATAGGTGAAGCTACAGCCCTTAGCCACGGTCAGTCTTCCCACTTCATCTCGGATAACGATCCCAACCACAGCCTGATTGGAGGGGAGGAGAGCTCGGCGGAATACCAAAAATCACAAACTTGCAGCCTTCATGGCTGATTAGCATCCTGGTGGTCCGAGAAATAGTGACACGGATCAGTCCAGGCCTCCAATAAGCTCGAAGCGATGTAGGTTGTTGTACCATGAACTTTGTTGAGTTTTTTGGCGTTTCTCGCTCTCCAGCTGATGTAGACAGCTTTGCAATACATTCTTGCAAAGTTTCTGCTGGCTGGTTTAATGTTGCGCAGTCCCTCGATGGCCTCCTTGAAGTTAGAGAAGGTGGGGAGTATAAATCCCCACTGCTTAAGCTTATCTTTCACTGCACAAAGTAGCAAACAGTTAGTTGAAATATGATTTTGATTCTTGTTCTCGTTGCATCTCCAAGGACAAAGTGAGGAATCAGCTAAACCATGCCGGGCAAGCCAAGCATTTGAGGGAATAGCATCCACGCTGAGCCGCCACCAGAAAGCTTTCTCCCTTGGTCGAAGTTTGAGTTCATTGAGCCACTCTTGAGTAATTTGAAGCCAAAATTCTGCTTGGTAGGCGTTGGCACTAATAGTTTTCCAGTGAGCTGCTTGCAAATTTCAGGCACGTCCTCATTTAGCTCAATATCAATCGGGATGCTACAGATTAACCTACATAGCTCCATTCCAAACATATTTTGTAACTTCTCCTTATCCCACGTGTTGTTGGTAATAAGTTCCTAAACTTTGTCATGCTCAGTAACAGAATTGTTAATAAAGGTGGACAAAACTTCACGAATGGACAAAGCTGCCGTCCTAATTATTTATAGCTTGAATAATCTGCATGCGATGACTTATTCTAGTTCTCTCTATAAACATTCTGTGTAGCAGTACTTGGTTATGCTTGATATTTTCACCTGGGAAAGGGTAACTATAATGTGAGAAGAGGAAAATATATTGTTACATGGTTGGAAAGAAAGCGCAGGCACTGAAAATTTCGGTGGCTTTCATCTATTCTAGTCGTTCTGATTTCAAAAGCTTGACTAATATCATTGGTACCATTCTAGGGCTGATGATATCATTCTAAGGCTCATAAAAGGTGTTAGAAAGGGGATTTAGCCGGGATGTGATTGTAGAATTTTAAGGGAATGAGAATTGGGGAAGTCAATGATGTTCGGGAGTGGTAGGAGGCGAAATATGCTGTTGGACAGCAGATTGGGCGTCGATCGACAGCTGTCCTGACTAAAAACAGCGAGGAGGACAACAAAATGACATGGTGCAGTGGCAGAGGAGTTTCACCACCTTTTTCTGCATAAGTTATAGATACACCACTTACAAAAGAAAAATGATACAACACTTTCTAAGATGTAAATAAATATTACAACCTCCAAATACCCCAACTAAAGCCAAAAGTTCCTCAAAATACCCGAAAAAAACACAAATAATTGCTAATAGAAATACCCTAATTAGAAGCAAGCAATTAGGAAAGAAATCAGAAAAAAGAAAAAAATTGATGTCGGGATCGTGCGGTTCTGTGCGCCTGCAATTGCTGAAATTGCAACTTCCACGACATTGTGGAATTTCCATGCAGTGAATGTGCAATCCCATAACAATGTGGGATGTCCACATCATTTCCCCTAGTTGGGAGAGGGTTTGTCCTCATCTCTAGAAGGATCTGAATCTCACTGCGGGTTGTTTTTTCTCAAAAAACCATTTAGGAAGATTTTCACAACTGCGGTTCACCACTCTTGTCTGACCATCTGTCTTTGGTTGCATCGCTGAATTGAAGTAGAGTTTAGTATACAATTCATTTTATAGTGTATTCAAAAAATCACTAAAAAAATTCCTCATTTCTATATGGAGTGATGACATGTTGGATCTCCCTAAGCTGTGGCAACCTTAGGGGTGGATTGTAGGTAAGAAAATCTTAAAATTCACCTAGCTTGGGCTGACATGTGTCTGATATCAACTCCTTTTACTCACTGCCATCTAGGGCAACCAATGTTAATCTTGATGTGACTTCTCTCTCCAGCTTAGTCTGAAGTATTCGTTGGATTATTAACATATCTCCATTATCCATTGAAATCTAGTACTCATTTACATCTTCACAATCTTCAATGTCTCCGGTGTCACTGTCTATATTTTTTCACTTTTCCCTGCTTCGTGAATAAGATCACCTTCTTTTTTGGGCAATCTGATACAATTTACCCCAAGTTATGATAGTTGAAATAGGTTTTGCCCGGGATGAATTTGGGAGTGCTAGTGGGCCCTACCTTTTTTCACTTTGAATTTATTTCTCCTCTGTTGGGCTTGGTTGGGAAGCTCCATTGGGTGTGTTCTTGCTGTAGGATTCTGGGTTGGAACTTGATAGTCACATGGCGACATTGCTATTGTTTCACCTTTAAAGCAAGGCTTTGTACATCAAGTAGGGACCAATACGGTTGCAGCTGCACCAAATTATTAATGGATGATCTAGCACTCCAAGATATCTAGCTGTTGCATCCTCTTTTGATTCCATTAACTCACATTTTAGCATGAGTTAATTAAATTCAATCGTGTCCTCCTCCACGAAAGAATCTCTTTTGCTTAGGTGGTGAAGTTTTATGAACATATCATGTTGGTAGTGTGAGGGAAGGTATTTGCGCTACAACTCCCTCTTTCAATTGTGTACTCCTCCACGAAAGAATCTCTTTTGCTTAGGTAGTGAAGTTTTATGAACATATCATGTTGGTAGTGTAAGGGAAGGTATTTGCGCTACAACTCCCTCTTTCAATTTAAACCAGGCAGTATTTTTACTCTTCTCTTTTTTTCTTTCAAATACTTTTCAAGTTCTCTCACTATAAGGAAGCATTCTTAACTTAATAGTTGCTAGCTTGACCTTTCTGTTAGGTGGAATATCTTTGTATTCAAAGATCGGCTCCATTGCTCGGAGCAACTCGATGAATTCTTCCTAATCTATGCGACCATCAAAATTCGATAAAACACTTTTACTCCAAGATCCCAGTTTCTCATCTGATAGTTCATGCTGAATTGTTGGGGTAGTGGTGCTTTGTCAGTGGAAACTTCCCTATGAAAGGAATTCAATTTTTTCTCTTGATCCAGCAAGCCGTTGTGGCTATGGCAAGTGAAATCATCGTTGTGGCTATGGGTGACTTCACTCGATCGAGCGAGTCATCGTTGTGGCTATAAGTGACTTCACCAAATTGTCTCTTTTCAAAGGAGACAAATGTCTATTGAAGTTCGTGGATTTTCTATTATATATTTTTCATAGTTCCTGGACACAACGTTGAAGCTTTTTCGTTGTGTCTAGGAACTATGAAAATATACAATAGAAAATCCTCGAACTTCAATAGACATTTGTCTCATTTGAAAAGAGACAATTTGGTGAAAGCGAGTCATCGCTGTGGCTATAAGTGACTTCACCAAATTGTCTCTTTTCAAAGGAGACAAATGTCTATTGAAGTTCGAGGATTTTCTATTGTATATTTTTCATAGTTCCTGGACACAACGTTGAAGCTTTTTCTTGGCGGCATGATGCCTTGTTCTTCCAATGGATGTTTTGACAGAGAAGAAAATTGGGGATTGGGATTAGGATTAGGGTTATGGTTAGTGCTAGGGCTAGGTGGATGATACATGGATTTTTTTGGTGGAGTGTTAGAATAGGTTTTATGGATTCTTATTCTAAATGTAGGGAGAATAAATTCCTCAAAAGTTAGATTTTGTTGGACTCTGATACTAGATGATATCATTCTAGGGCTCCTAAAAGGTGTTAGGAAGGGGATTTGGTATGAATGTTGTTGTGGAATGTCAAGGGAAAGGGAATGAGAATGGGGGAGATCAACCACATTTGGAAGTGGTAAGAGGCAAAATGGGGGATTTGGTAAGATCAACCACATTTGGAAGTGGTAAGAGGCAAAATCTTATGTTGGATTGCAGATTCGACGTCGATCTGCATCTTTCTTAGTCGAATGCAATAAAGTGAATGACGTAACAACGTGGTGCGGAGGTCGAGGAGGTTCACAACTTGTTACTTCACAAGCTACATACACACCACTTACAAGAGAAGATGATACAACACTCCTTTATGTAGAAGTAGAGATTACAACCTTCAAATATTCAATACAAAGCCAAAAGTCCCTCAAAACAACAAAAGAAACATATAAATATGTTTCTAATAGAAAATACTTTAATTACAAATAAAGAATTAGGAGAAAAATAAGAGAAAACAAAAAAGAAACTTTTGCATAAATTAGAAATCAGGTTGTGATAATGAGGTTCTGCATGCTTGCAATCATTGGAATTGCTGCTTTCAATGTGTTGCACGCAACTTCGTGGGATGCTTCACATCAATCATATAAGACATTATATGGAGATTTCACCATTATATAAATGTTTTATTTTTTGGTTTTAAGGTTTCTTATAGCCTCTTTAATTAATTACCTATCTGAGTCTTGTAAAAGCCCTTTTGATTAATGGTTCATTGGCTCTATGAACTTTTATATAATTGTAGATTTTTTATTTGAGGAGAAAATAACATGCATAAATGGTGGAGGAAAGGGAGACAACAAAGACGATCTTTGGAAGGTAGGGGATAAAGAATGGAAGGGACTGCAACGGCTAGGAGTGGAGGTGGAATAATTAGGCCTCGTGCGTGGCGGTGGGGGTGGGGGTGAGGGGGAACGTAGCAATGAATCGGGCACGGGAGGAGGAAGACCAGACCTGTCCGGTCCAGGGGAATGCTGGATCGACTCCCTGTTTGTACGACCCATCGGGCTGCAAGCAGCCAGCTCCGCGTGACTCTCCTTCAGTTTGCTTTATCTCCTCTTGTCACAAGCTACCACTCACCCTTACTATCTATCAAGGTACTCATGCACTTCTCTCTTTATTTCTGAGATGTCTAGGTGGAAGTGAGGGTAGTTGTAGAAAGAAGAAAGGGTAATTAGAAGCAAGTCAAACAAAATAGGGAAGAAGCTATCATAGAGCAATCAATGCCAGCAGAAAGGAAAGGAGTCTTTAAGGAAAAAATAAATCAACAAAAAATGAAAGGAGAAGAACAAAGGGCATCAACAATGAAGATAAATCTAAAGGCTCGATAAAGCTTATCAAATCGTTTCAATTTATTACTTTCAATTATGGCGTCTCTTTAGTGCATATTTTGTTTTTTGCGCCTCAATTGCCTTACATAACCTATTAATTTATGCCTCTTGTTAGAAGGAGAATCTCATCAGTCTTCCTATTGCAGAAGTTCATGTGGGCCTCGCAACACCAAGGAATTTATCTTAATCCTTAATTTTATAGATTGATCTAGTATAAAGTTTAAAGACAAGCTTGATCTTTGAACCAGATAATCCCTTTGTATTTTATAGTTAAAGAGGAAGGTCATTTGTAGTCCTCTCGTCATTTCCAAAACAATTTGATATCAAAGTATTATAGATTGGTAGGTTATAAGTTTTAAAATAATAAAAAGAAGTGTGATACATCTTTAACCGAATGATAAGTCGAGTGTTGACAAGTTTAGGCCAATAACGTACTAAGTTTTAAGTTCACGAGTTTCTTAGATTAAGATAGTTGGCACTATACCCTTGAGGATAAGATAAAGAGAGAATAGGCCAAGCAGGCTCTTTGCCATTGGAACCTTAGAGTGCTAATATTGGATCCGACATAAAAATCTAACTTGAATCCGACACAAAAAATTTTGGTTTGCATCAACCTGTGCAATTTTTGGGATGGGCTTGAGTTAGCTAAGTTACCCTGATCTAGATCGGGTCAGCTTTGGGTCATTCAGTGGGGTTGGGGTCAAACCAAGCAAAAATAACTTATTTATTTGATTATATTCTAAGATTTTTACACTTTTTTTAGTTGTGTCAAATTCTTTAGTCATGTTCATTTTGTGTGGGGTTAAAAGTAACTATGAAACACAAGGTGACTGAATTACTATCATTAATGGAACTCGACAATGATAACCAAATGGAGGAGCTCATTAATAATAATCTCTTGTAAGATGTTCCATTATTAATGATAGAAGTAAAGAACTTAGTCTTTAAGGTGCTTGTTGAGTAACTAGAGTTAGATAACATTCCATGATCTTATGATTTGAGGTGGATACATAGAAGACAAAATTTAGCCTAACAAAATATTAAATCATATTTCATGACTCGAGAGCTTTGAATGAATTAAGAATGGAATGGATGGCCACTATAGAAGGTTTGAACTTGTCACACATTCTGATAAACTGCAATGATATCATAATGCAAAATTTTCCAAAACTAGTTTAATAAATAAGCCACTAAGCTACAAACTTCCATTAAACATGTATATTTTCATATATACTAAAAAAGATGAACCAATATATCTAGCATATTATCAATATTTTAAACATAACTACAGTATACATCTACCCTATGTATGCATACCTAAACAAAGATGCTTCTTGTCAATTGCATACAAAATCCTTTCCAAAGCTTAGATAACCCTTTGCGAGCTTTTTTGAAAAAATGGTCAACTAATATGGTTAAGTTATATATATAAATTTATAACTCAATGTGTATTTGACATTTCTAAATGACGAGAAAATACAAACGGTGAAGAAGCATTATGCATGTTGAACAATGTACAAACTTATCCATAAACATAACATTTGGTATAACAACCAATATCAGCACTTGGACTATATAGTGGTCATAATAGTTGTCATAGAATTTGAAGTCATAGGCATAATCATTGCATTTGAATACCATCATCATCATCACCATCTTTATTTTTTTAAGTGACCATCATCATCATCTTGGACCATAAATAAAGAAGTTGAGACTTGTAGCTACACTTTGTAATGATTTGATCGTTTTATGTCTTCAAATATATATGCTGAAAGAAATTGATGGGAAATCTCAAGTGATTGTTGAAAATAATCTCTGTTAGCATATTCAACATTTGTGGGATAAAGGTTTTGTTGTATAAAAAAGATCTTAATTTATTAGAATTAAATGAAAATATGACACTAAATAGGATGCAACGAAGAAAAAGGTTTCATGTAGCCAACCCTACTTAGCGGGATAAAGGTTTTGTTGTTGTTGTTGTTGTTACCATATTCAACCTTCATTCGCCATATTTATGATAATTTAATTTTACAGGTATCTAATGCCCTGTCAATATTCCTTCTACTAAAAAAACTGGATTTTAACATGTTGTTGCTAACCATAATATTTTTGAAAATCCGGTGAGTTTCACCGTATCTATCACGGTTTCATTGTTTAGAGGATTTCATGTGTTTTTTGCTTTTGTAAAGGTTGGATAATGATTTGATGAACAACAGACTATTTTTTCTGGCTCGTAGACTGTCCATCTTAATTCTCAGTTGGCAGTGCATGCTATCATAATGTGGAACGGGTAACATTGTAATTAGAATATGTTGGAGATGTTTACTTGTTTTATGAATTAAATTTTTTGTAATCCATAACCATTCTAAAATTCTAATATAGACCAAATATTGGAGTATCTCCAACTGGGACGTCATGGGTTTAAAACCTCAAAATAAGAATTCACATGTTATCGTTAATGCATTACAACATGCTTCAATTACTTAAAAATGTTGGTGTATTTATTTCTCTGCGTTGCCTCACATATTGGCATCCACCAAGTTATTCAAAGGATGCAATTTCAAAATACTGTCAAGTTTTTTTTTTTTCATTTTTCATTTTTAGTTTCTTTTTTAATTAAGAGTATTTCTTTGATTTTATGATGTCTGTTAAAATGATCCTTGTTTTTCTGTTTTTGCAGTTGTTATTAGTTTTATTGACTTTGGGAAATGGCTAAATTGTTTGGTCCATGTGGTTTTCCTTCAGGTAAATGTCTTGACTCACACAGCTAAGTTGACGATGTCTTCTTGGCATACAGAACGAATTAAAGAGCTGCAGAGGAAATATGATAGTGATGATTGTCAGGAACTGTACATATTTCAAGATAAAACAGTAATAGCGAAGGTTGAGGAAAATATGGAACCGACTAAATATTTTACAATTTTAAATTCTAGTAGTACCAATTTGGATGAGAAGACTGGAATGTCTTCTGTTGCAGCGCAAGAAAAGGAGTTAGGAGGAGTTAGCATTGAACAATCTGAGGAGATCCAAGTTAGCTCAAGTGGAAATATGCCAGGGTGCTCTTCTGTTGTTAGAATGAATATAGCTATGATCGGGGAAGTAGAAGAAGGAAGTCTGGTGCAGGAGCTTGGTTTTGATGAATCTTGCAATAAGATAAAGAACCAATGGAAAAAAATTACTGATGATGTCGAGAATAATGGAGGCTCTTTGGATGTCTCTTCTTCAAACAACAATTTATGCCAGGATATTGAGTTAATAGGAAGGCTTGTTGGTTCTGAAAAGTCAATTTCCCGTGGTTCTGGCAACTCCTTTGATAAGAAAATGAAGTTGAAGGAAGGTAATAATCTTAAAAGAGTGACATCAAAGTTTTTCTTGCCACAGCAGTTAATTTAGTAAAAGCCCAAATTTCTCCTACAGAAAGTGTGGAGATTTTGATGGTGATGTTCAACCAAAAGTTTAATCACGTTGTTCCTTACAGGGAAGTTAGTTTTAATGATTTACCAAATGATTTAAGTCATATCTGGTATGGTAGTCAAGCTGACAACTGTCTTTCTACATCAATCAAGCTTGATGAACCTGGGCGTCCAATCGGTATTGATTTGAAATTGAAACAGATTCTACTACTGGACTATGTTAATCAACATTGAATTCTAATATGAAATGCTAGTTATAATTGGCATTTATTTGATATTATACAGATAGAAGTAGCTGATTTATGAAGTGCAAGTTCAAGTACTGAATTATGATAATCAACATTGATTTCAAACATAAGTTTATGAACTGATCCTTCTTGCAGGTCAAGACACTGCTGCATCAGTGCCGAAAGCTATGGATTTATTAAATAAATTGGATCATAACTGCAATTCAGAAGTTTATTGTGGTGGTGCAGTTTGGGACATATTCCGAAGGGAAGATGTACCCAAGCTAATTGAGTATCTGCAGAAGCATTGGAAAGAGTTCCGCCATATTAATGCTCATCCTCTTAACTCAGTGAGAGTTATTTGCCATTTTGCACTTTAATTTCGAGTTTCAGTGTCATATGGTGATAATTTTCAACTTTATTCCCTTAGATTGTTCATCCCATCCATGATCAAACTCTCTTTTTGAATGAGAGACATAAGAAACAGCTTAAAGATGAATTCAGTAAGTTCCTTTTTTTTAATTAAATTTATCATTGATAACGTCTGTATGTTGACTATGAAGTCCTTACTGTGTTTTAGTTCCAGTATTCACATTAGCATGCTCTAAGCCATCTTTTCACTTCTCAAGCAGATGTGGAGCCTTGGACATTTGAGCAATATCTTGGCGAGGCAGTTTTCATCCCAGCAGGATGTCCTCATCAAGTCAGAAATAGACAGGTCAGAATAATTCTGTGCTGACTCACCAACTCCAGATTTTTGAGAAAGTATCAAATTAGTCCCCTGACTTTTTGTAGGGATTCATTTTAGTCCCAGAGTCTATAAAAGTGCTAATTTATTCATCGGACTAATTTAATCGTGGCTAAAATAGTGCTTCATAGGGATTATTTCAGCCTGTATTAAAAGAGGCTACAAATAAATTTGACACTTTTATAGACTCTGAGCCTAAAATGACCTCATGTAAATAGTCAAGGGACTATTTTGGCACTTTAGTCATGAATTTTAAGAATTCCTAAAATTTATGTGATATTTTCAGGCGTTCGCACAATTGTTTTTATCAATGTTCCTTTTTTCCACGGTTATTAGTATATACTATTAAACTGATTTGAGGTTAATTTATGCTAGTTAATTAAGTCATGTTATCTGAATATTAGTGTAATTCCTGGAATTTTTCATTTATTCTAGTGCAATAAAATCTATGCATTATTGTCATTTGATATTTTTTTTATGAAGATTTAGTTCTTTTAGACAATGTGTTATTAATTCATATGTTCTTTCTCAACTATCCAGTCTTGTATCAAAGTTGCCCTTGACTTTGTATCTCCTGAAAATATTGGGGAATGTGTTCGATTGACTGAGGAGTTTCGTTCGCTTCCAATAACACATCGAGCTAAAGAAGATAAGCTGGAGGTACTTTCTCCAAACATAGTTTATTGAAACTTTAGCTTGCTTTTGTTATTTAATTTTTTTTTTCGGCCTTTAAGTTTGCCTTTATTTATTTTAAACTTGGATTAAAAATTTTGCTTTAAATTGAGGTTGCCCCAAGTACTTCTTTACAATTAATATGAACTCATGTTCTTTTTTGACTTGATTACAATTCTAAGTTATGCTTGTCCCTACTCTTTTGTGATAAGACATGGATGCTAAACTTTCAGATTATATTTGTTGTCAATAGGGTTGTAATTGAGCCAATCCGACTTGCGAGATGGCCTCGAGCTTGGCTCCATAATTGGCTCGTGAGTTGCGCTTGATGAGCTAATGCTTGATGAGCTAATAGGCCAACTTCAACTCAACTGATTAGCTCGTGAGCCAGCTCATTTTAAATAAATATATTAATATAAAATATACTTAAAATATATTAAAACTGAAGATTTAATCTTTAAATTATATAAAATATTTAAAAATAATATTTTATATTTTATGTCAAGTTGTTTCTTATTATTTATCTTCTAATTGTTTATTATGCATGTCATTTTATTATAAAACTAGCTTGAATTAGTATTGTTTTCCCTCTTTCATGATAAGCAAATGGCTCATGAGTCGGCTTGAATTCGTAGACTTAGGCTCGAACTCGATTAATTGATCAAGCTCAAGCTGAAAGTGACTCTATTTCAAATCGACTCTTTTAATATATTCTAATTAACGCCCTACATTTTTGACCCGTTGTAATCATTGAATTCCTATTATGGCAAATAGATGTATGTTTAGGATTTGGCTAGTTGATCGTTCCTTTGCATGTCTTCATTCCCCCACCAGGCTATTGAAATATTTAACTACAAGTTTGATATTTAGAAGATTGTAAAAACACAATGATAACATAGTTAAAGCGCATGATCAAACTATTGTAGCTTTTAACTTTTCAAAAATATATTGCATTTATTTATAATGGAAAAGTGAATTTTTCCTTGAGTAATATTGATGCTATGCTTTTATATGGTCTTTGTATTCGCATTTCAAAGTCATATAGATGGACAAATGATAACTCTGATTAGTTCATCTAATTAAGCGGCCTAGATTGTTAGCTCAAAATGTTCTTATTGATTTTTGATATTTTTGTTATGTCAGAATTATTTTATTTGTATGTCTATTATTTCCAATAAAGTACCCTGAAGTTAAGTGTCAAAATAGTTCTCTAACTATTTACATGGGGGTATTTTAGTTATAGAGTCTATAAAAATGCCAAATTAGTCCCCTTTCTCTATTAATATTGGTTGAAATAGCCCCCAAGGAGGACCATTTTCGGGGGTGTTTGGTTGCTCCTATTAATCGAATCAATGGCCGGATTTACGAAATCAAGCCAAACATAAAAGATGGGCAAGTTCCGTGAATTTAAGAAATTTCAGATTTAAGGTCTGATTTTTGCCTTCCATTCATCTTGAATCTGAATTTAATATATCCAACGAGAGGGCGGATTTAATAAATCCAGATTTGCTGAATCCTACTAACGCTAAATCTTGCCTGGACTGAAACTCCCCCTTGGACTCCATTACAAGTGTATGGGGATTAAATTTGCTTTTTTTATAACTATGAGAGTAAAATGGACTTCTATAAAAAGTTAGGGGACCATTTTGACACTTCTCTGAAGTAACTTGACTCGGCCTAATCCAAAAAAAATGCTATAAGATGCTTGTTGAGCTTTGACTTCAGTTTATTTTTTCTTAAACACATAATAGGATTGGGCATAATTAGTAAATTATTTTCTTAAATGTGTGATTTAGGAGGCTTCTCACATGTCTTACCTATCTAAAAATCAACCTGGCTTTTGGGTGATCCAGTTGATGACCTCACAATTAGGCTAACACAGTCTAAGTAGGCCAACCAATGGATTTTTGGACTCACATATACCTTCGAGTCAATAAGGGACACAAATCAAACATGTTATCATTAGGAGCCACACCATAAAGAAAGGTGCACCATTTGCCACCTTATTTCATAAGTTGGCCATAGTTTCAATCAATGGTGACTAGCAAAGCAAGGGGAAGGAAGAGAGGCTAAATTTTTTACCTTTATTGTTCCCTTCCTCTTTCAATCTCTTCTTAACCCCTTCTAACCATCCTTTAATTATCTTATCTTTTTTTTAATTAGTTGTCTATTTTAGGATTTTAGATGGGGCTCTTATTATTCGGTAAATAGGAGGCCACTGAAGATGTTTGTTTTTGACAGAGGTAGGAATATGCGATGCAATACAAGAAATACATTATAAATATTTTTAAATTATTTCAAGAGTAATCCATAATTATGGATTAATTTTTTAGAACTTTCTATATTTTTTATTTTATTTTATTTCCATTTATTGCATTTAATTGTTGCTTTATTTTAGGAGTTTTGTATATTTGAATTCAAGTTATTTTGATTTTATCTTATACTTCCACTTCTATATATAGGGGTTTATATCCTCAAGCAATCGAGCCATCACCTTCTTCCTCTTTTCAATTCTCTCATCTTAAAAGAGAGAAGTCAAGGCGATTTCAAGAGATGGAGGAATACGAAGGTCAAGAAAGATGGCATTTATAAGAGCTTGTCATCAAATCTTCAATCAATTGACATCACATTAAATTTTCTTCCACACTAATTTGGTATTAACGCCAAATCTCTTGAAGGTAATTACACCCCTAATCACCTATATGTTTCTTCGTTTGAAGCAACATGATTTATCCTTTGTTATTACTCATCCCACACCACTTTCAAAATGCTAACCCTAGCATTATGCCATATGATTCTTCATATATCACCATGACACTAGTAAATTATTGAGAATTGACCATGCAAAAAGTAGAGATTATGCTAGAAAGATATATCACAAACATATAAACTCAAACGTGAAGCTACAAAATTCTCTTTCTTTATATAGAGTCAATGCTACAATTTTTTTTTTTATTCTCCAAATGTTCATATTCATATAAGTTCATAATTTTTTTATAGATATGGTTTAAATGTTGAAGAAATATATGTTGTGCATCTAGAAGCCTCAAACATCATATATTATATTGGAGAAATGTGTTTCTTTTGATAATTGGTTGAAATATTGCCTTAAGGTATTTATGGATGATGCGATTAATAAATCTTGTTATTTGCATGCATATGCTATTTATGATTATATATAACATCATAATTATATTTATCAATATGAAATTGATATTATGATTATTTACACTCCATCGAAAAATTCATCCAATTAAGCGTGAATTTTTGATGCAATATTTAAATTAGTAAATTTTGGAATTAAATATATGTTCATTTAATATTTGATTTCCACAACTTTATTTTTGAAACAAATATTTTATTGAGATGAGTCCCAATTGAGTGAAACGTTCTTTGATCTAAATCTAAATGTGGGCCTAAATTAAGTACTTGATGCATAGTTGTTAACTTCAAGCCGTTCATGATATTGTTGATGGTATCAAATTATATTTGAATATTTTGTGTTTATAGTCAAAGTATGTCACGATATGACCTGGGAGTTTTTTAGTACCAAAGCAATTGTGGTCGGTCAGATGAAGAAAATGTTCTCTACATATTTTTTTTTATAAAATATAAAGGGGTTTTCTATTTCACTCAATTTTACGAAAATTCGTTCAAATTTAAAACTTTTATTACCGGAAGAAAAGTAAAAATTGAAATAATGTCTTATCTCTTTGTGATTTGTTGGTTTTATTTTTAATTAAAAAGTTTAATTTGGAAAATAGGGCTGAATACTACATTACAAGGAATATGTCATATCGAAAGATGAAAATATTGTTTAATAATGAGTTTAATTATTCAAACTGAGAAATTTAGGATATTTACTTGGTCTGCAAAAATACCAACAGATCGTTTCCTATCTAATCCATAGGGTTTAGATTATATTAGTTGTTAATTTTTAATAATCTCAAGTCTCTATAGTTAATTACATCTGAAGTTACCTAAATCTCTTAAGAAAACTCTCAATTAAAGGTGTGGGTTTTTAAGATTTTCAAAGTTTAGATTCCACGATCGATTATATGAAAATAAACTGGGAAAAGTTCAATGTGGAATAATTATTTTTGAAACTTAAAAAAATGAAAACAGATGTCGAAGATACTGAGGAAACCTTAGTGACATCTCAACTATCTTATGATTTGACTATATATATTTTTTTGAAAGAGAAATTATTTGATATTTCAATCTTTACATATTTTTTTAGAAATTTAGGACTTTTATCTCATGCTATAAGATTGTGAGAAAGTCTAGAAAGGTGAGGTTTTATGTCGTGCTAGACTAATGACCTCAAAATCCTAAATCTAAGGCGATGTTCACAAAAAAAAAATGAAACATGAAAACCTAGTCCAAAAAAAGGAATCACACAAGCAAATATGTAGAATAGACTTACATAACTACCTAAATAGGTCTGCCATCTAAATCACCTAAATGCATTTTAAAACCATGAAGGTCAGTGTCAATGAATGCTGAATAGTGAAAGTTGTAGTTTATTAAGAATTATTGGTCTTACAACCTGATCTTAACGATTAAGATGTCTAAGTATGGATGATATGCAATGCGGGTTTATTTTTTCAATTTAAAATTAAGGATTTTAAAGCTCACCACACTCAGATTATTTTCTTAATTTGGATTAATTCTTAGTGTTAAGTGATCAACAACAAGTTGTGAATAGGGATGCACGTCTTGGATGATGAATGCAAAAAAGTCCTGTTCAAAAGATCAATAAATGTGCAGAGGCAGAACTAATTTATAAGGTAGTGATTCTCACGGGGCGAACCACTTCTTTTTGTGTAATGAGTGAGGGCCTAAAGACAAGAAATAGAACCATATGCAATGAGCATGCATAAGATGATTTTTTCGTGGCTATTCCTAAATCATAAAGAGTTTCCTAGTCCATTTTATTTAATTGTCAATTTTGTTATTTTAAATGCATGGTTGACTAAGGTGTGAATGTAATGTGTTAATGGAATTTTGTTGGGGGTCATGATTTTCATTTTAGTTTTAAAAAATATGTTTCAATTGTTTGGTTGGGATAGAAAACAGTCTTTAAAAAGTACTTCAAATCCAGTCAAAAAGCAAATGAAAACAAAGCCCTAAATTTTGGTTTGGTCTATTGAACACAATAGAAACAACAACAAAGAAAAGACACGACTAAGGTTACCAACCTTAGACCTACGTCAGACTTGTTAGTCTAAAATTGACATCCAAAGGTCGTTGTCGTTTATTTGGAGTTCATTCTTCGCATTTTGTAGTAACATAACACAACTCGGGAGGTCCCTGAAATCGTAGAGCTCATGCTGCTACTGAGATAAAACAACAAAAAATTCATTTGTTAGATCAGAAAATTAAATTAAGTTTTATATAACAACAAGAGAACCAAATTAAACGAAAACCGTATCGATCGAAATACAAAAAAAAATGTGAGTGTGCTGTCTCAGACAAGTAACTACACCAACCCACGTGTTTGTCACTAAACGTAGACAACGGACTTTAAAAAAAATGAGTTCTTGGTTGCCTTCAACCCACGGGGACGATCGTCGTGGGATACATGTGCTAATTACCAAAAAAACATACAGTAGATCCTCATATACCACTGTAATGAGAAGAAGAGAGAACCTAGGTTTCCTTTTTTAGCATTTCACACGCAATAGCATTAGGATACGATCGTTTTGTGCCAGATGTGTATATCATAAAAAAAAGGCCATCCACATAGATCTTCTAAGCCGATGCACCCAAAAAATGAAGGATATCGGTTGCCTTCATTAAGAATACGCATGTAGTAATACTAGATAACAACACCAAATTTTCTATCCAGACGAACTCATAAGGTTATATTTTTCATTATTCATCACTGACCTCACACACTAAAAAAAAAAAACAAAACAAATAATTGAAAACAAATTTCAAACATGTCATTATTATATATTCAAACATTTTAATGAAACAAATGAAGTTCGTAATAAAATCATAAAATTCAAATTCACAATACAATGAAACACATACGAAATGAACCTATAGTCTAATAAATAATGAAGAGTGGTAGAATCAATATCCACGGATAACATCTGCGATAGACTCCCTCAAAGCAACCATCTCGGCTACACCTTCACGATCATGAGTTTCCAATTCATTCGATTCGATCTCATCCTCAGGTAATGATTGTCCAATCAGAGATTCTGAAGGTTTTGGAGAAACATGCAGCGGATTGCCATCAGCGAAAGTGAAGTCCGTATCTGATTGAGAGGGATGTCGTCGTATGAAGTTGTGAAGTGTCAAAGTGACCATCCAATATACACTTGTTTGGGAAATGGAGACGACGTCATATCACGTAGGATGATCATTTCTTCTTCCACACCCCAAATGTTCTTTCAATTACCCCGTGTAACGTGTGACGTTTGTTAAACATTTCTTTTCTGTCACAGATCGTATTAGTTGCTCTCTCAAAATCTTGAATATGGTATATGATGTCTGGATAGAGCTTTAGGTAGCCCCGCTGCATCGGATATCCGACATCAACCAAATAATATTTTCCTGTTGTGAAAAACAATATTAATGACAAATAATACATATAAGTTATAGATTTACATAACTAAACAAACCTGGAGGCGGGTGAGGGAAACACTGCGTTCTATTTCTAATTGCATAGGAAAAAAGACGATTGTCATGTGTACTTCCTTCCCATCCATTACAAATGTGAAACACATGTTGAAGTCACATACTGCCATGATATTTTGGGTAGTTGAAGAACTCCGACAAATGTACACGACCTTCTTGTGACTTGGTAGTTGAGCATCTACATGCATACCGTTGATTGCCCCAATGCGGTTTTGATTTCCATTGTTAGAAACTCATTACATTTTGAAGTTAACAGACTAATAAAACTTACCTTAAAATATGACATGTAACGGAGATCATTTGCAATTTATTCAGGACTAGTAGCGAACAATGGATCCTCTGACTTTAACGATTTGCGACGCTAAGCTCAAGTGCTTGTATACTTTTGGAGAAGTATCGATTAATTGTTTTCGAGGAATGCTGAAATCGCTACATAGCTCTTTTATCTGATTTGTTCTGTGAGAGAATGTATAATGTTATAGCTAACATTTCCCTAGTTGTCGTTCTAGAAGAACCTTGGAGGCCGTCGTTAAGACATAGCTCGTGAAGGAGATCCATAAAAGTGGCTGCAGTTATAAAACGAGGACGTCATGTGTGGTATCCAACCAGTGCTGGAGCGGTAGTACTCAAACAATAATATCGCAATAGCTGCAGCTCATGCCATTCTTTTATAACGTTCTTGCTACGGATCCATCCTAAAAGGAGAAATATATTAGGATGAAATAATATGTGGAGAAGTGGTGACAACAAAATGAAATATTGAAAACATTAAGGACTACAAAGCGTCAAAAAGGAATTACATATATTGTTCCGGAGAAATAAAACTGCTGAAAAAATATACAGAAAAGGAAAACTTAGTGACAACAAAATATAAAACAAACTCATTCTTCTATCAAAACACGCAAATATTCAATGCGCAGCTCGGGCCGGAGCGCCATGAACATTTGCCTACAGGTTTGGTCCACAAGTTTCTTTACACATTTTGCGTAAAAGCGCATATCGACAACTGCTTCTGGAATAACATCCA